ATGTGTTTGGCGCAATACCTGTGGATTATGATAAGACAAAAGGAATTGTTTTCAAGTAAGCAATAGACACTATGCAAAGTATTGCGAAAAAAATTAGATTAAGGACTAGGCAGAATTCGATGGTAATATATCCAAATAAAAAGTTAGTAAAGTAAAGAAAACCATAAAAAATTACTGAGCAGACAATAAGAATGGATATGCAACGTATTTCCTACCATTGCAATTCCATTCCAGCCAACAGCTATTATTGGATATCGTACCTGCAGAAGAGGTCAGTCGAGTAGTGCAAAATATTCGGAAGCGCAACTCGCGAACTGCCTCATCTGGCGTCAGTCCAAAGCATCTGGGGCCTTTCATCTCCAGCAGGCCACATTCAGGACAAATAGCCATTTCACGTTGAAGCTGGTCCAGCTGAGCTTGGTCAGTCTGCTCCTCTAAGTTCAACTGCAATTGTTCAGGAGTCCTTTCATCCTGAACATTTTCGTCCCCTGGATGTTCAAATTGTCTATCCTGGTTGGTACAGTCTGCCTCAAAAGGGTTTTCTAATTCAGATCCTTTCGAAGCAGTCTGATGAGAGGCGGTGGAGGAAAAATGTTGCAGCGAGCTATCTCCCCTATCCCCATGCAGATTTTCTGCCTGAAAAAGCAATTTCCGCCGTGAACACCTGTGGAAAAGCACCAAATTAGAAAACAAAACATAATAGAAAAGTCCAAAAGCTACATTAAACTGTAATATAAATAGAATCAAAAGGAATATATGAATATGTATTCATAGAAAAGGCTATAATTGATATTTTCGAATCAGAACTTAATGAATCTGGACTTTGGGAAACAAAAGTTATTTTCTTTTTATAGACTTTTGTTTATTTCACCTTAGTAGTAGGACAAGCCAATATCGTGGCTCTCAGCAAACAGCAAAATGTTGAGACAATCAGACGAAAAGTCAACTCCAAAATTCAGACTACTTAGTCACTTTTTCTTATCAGGAAAAAATCCCTAAAGACAAAACGTTAGGGGCGATATTTTTTAATAAATGTAATTAATTAGATGTAATATGCAATTCAAATAGGAGACAATAAAAAAATGGATAAGTATTATTCTGATATTAATGGCACAATGCATTTCACTATTCTTTTTACGATTTTGAAGTTGTAATAAAATACATGATTGCAGTTACTTTTGAATAAGTTCAGAAATGAAGTAAGGAAGCTAAGATGTTCCTGATGGAAGGAAGAACAATAGGATGCTGCAAAAATATAAAACTCGAGTTTCTTTCCGTCGTTAAATGTTATTTAAGAAATGAAAGTATACTTTTCCCACAATTGAATGAGTAAGCATATTTATGAAAGTGAATTTAATTTAATTAAGTTGTTTGATCTTGTTTCGCAATATGGACATATTGGTGAGAAGACGTAGAACCCACCTAGCTCGGAGTCCATTGCATGCATTATTAATTCCATAGTCGGACCGTGGACGGGGTACAGTCCCACACATTTCACCGGCATTATCAGTGAGTCATGCCAGTCTTAGAATAACACAATTCGTCAAGGCGAAAAGTGAAGTCGATCTTTTCACCAAATGTGGGCTAAAAGGTTGTGGGCCTGGGCTATTCACCTCTCCTATATTTTCGTATCACGCCTTCACCATAACAATTTTTCCTTGCTCATTTAAATGTATTGTGTCAGCTTCCATAAGAATCCTCCAAACACTACACTGGCATTGTCACACCCCCTTCAACCTTGTGCTGGGAATGTCGATCAGAGTTTGCTATATTGTATACTGGCGATGCAGTCGAGATGTGGGGAATGTACCACGTCGACGGTTCAACTTTAGAAATGATCATGCCTACGATGGACTCCAGACTAGTTTCG